ATATATATATATATATATATATATATATATATATATATATATACTGTATATATATATTATATATAACGAACATATATACGGTATATATAATTAAAGCCAAGAATACTTAATATTTATTACGTACCGGTACGTAGAAGCATAGAACAACCTAATATATATATATATATATATATATATATATAGCTTATATATTTATAATTAAAAGAAGTACTTGTATTAATCAAGATTTACACAAAGATTTGAGTAACATGTACTAAAAATATGACAATCTATATTGTATGTAACTAATAGTAACTATAAATGTAGTCATTCTGTTTGTAAATAAATAAATTTAATATAATCTAAAATTCGAACTGGTGATCAATAAAAATGCAAAATGTAAGCAGTCAAAGTACTGGTGAAAAATTTTTGAATAAACTACAGTGTGTAAGTAAGTACTTATGTTCGTACAAGGTAAGTAACGAACGTGATTGAAAATTATTATTTTGTAATCCGGATTCTCAATACTCTTTAACCCCTTGCCAAGCTCTTCCTTTGTACGCGAATTTTAACAGTTAAAGATGTAACACAAATCAAAAATTTCTTTAATTAATATTTAAAAAAAAAAAAAATGGTAATTTTAAAAATTACGTTACAAATACGTAATTATTAATTTCTATATAAGAATTATAGTTCTTATAATTGTAAAGTTATAAAAAAGAAATCGAAAAAAAAATTTTAAATCGAGTATTTTTTTTTTTTTTAGATCATACACGTGAAATAGACAAACTTGTAATTCGCATTCTTCGTCGTACACAAATATCAATTTAATATTTAATATTTTATTTTATGCATTAAACATAGCCCAGTATTGGCATTAGATAGAGATTATGTTACACGTAAGTTATCTTCTTTACTGCTAAATGATGTATGAACTGAAAATCGTACGTACGCACGCACGTACGTACACAAGACGATAGATTCGACAGTTTAGATGGAAAAAGACGGATGGACTAATTGTGAAAAAAAAATTATGAATTTGTTATTATCTATGTAATTAATAAACAAAATTTAATACAACCTACTCAAATACGGTTTGCAATTTTAAAATTAATTCGAATAGCATTGAAATAAATTACATTAAAGAAAAAAAAAAAAAAATTTTTTTTAGTATTAAAAAAATTTTTTTTAATATGATAATTCTTATACAAATGAATAACGTGGCTATTTTCCTATAAAGAACATCTAAATAAATAACTTATTTGCCCTCACACATGCAAGTTGATTTTCTGTAATGTCCATCCGTTAATAAAGTATTACAATAGGGATAATCAATAGTAACAAAATTTTATGCTACAACCAATTTATGAAATGATTTTGATCTATAAATTTATACTGTATATATTTTAATATCCACCATATGGTTGCTGAGGAGGATAAGCATTATTGTAACCACCCTGTGGTTGTTGAGAATAACCATTAAATCCACCTTGCGGTAATGGAGGAGGAGGATAGTTGCTACCATAATTCGCGTAGGGTTGATCTTCTTCAAGTAATTCTTTCACTTCCCACACATTTTGTTTGCTACCAACGGAAAATTCAAGATCTTCTTTGGTGATAGAATCCCAATATTTGTAAACCATCATCACACCTAAAAGTGTACAAATTGTTCCAAAGAATAGACCATCTATATAGTGCTTGGCAGTATCACATATCTTAACGGAGAATAGATAAAGGATAACTTGGCCAATGACATAGAAAGAAATACCAAACAAAATGTCACCAAGTGGCCAGCGATCATCAAGAGTATTAAGAACAAGAACTATTTGAAGAATGAAATAGATTGCAAGTGCAGCACCATTAAAAATGTATAATACAATCCATAAAGGTAGAGGATGTAAAGGACTGAATCCAGCAACATTACGGAATGTAGCAAAACTTAGACCAAAAACGGCTAAAAAAATTACAAGTGAAGAAATTCGAATTGACTAAAAAAAATTTTTTATATTAGTATTAGAGAAAACAAAGTGAAATAAATTTTAATAAAAAAATTGAATTCGGTTTACCCAAAGCGAAAGTGGTGTACCATCTTCGGCAAATTGAAAACCGACGAATCCATTTAATAGTAAACACCAGAAAGTGGATGTAATAAGACCAATATGAGCAGCAACAAAGTACTAAAGAAAAAAAAAAAAATTAGTATTAAAATATTAAAATTTATTTAATTTTTTACGTTTAAACATTAAATTTGAAAACTTACAGGATAAACGTTAGATGCGGCAGGAACAATTCCGGAAACAAGTAATAATTCTAGGAAAGTGACCATCATGTACAAATAAAAAAACATGACAATTTCTTTCCGACCTATATAAATAATTTTGATAAAAATATTAAATATTCTGAATTGCTTGCTCACCTCTAAAATAAAATAATCTTTACAATATTATACGAACCAACAGCTGTGTATTTTGATTTTATATGATAAATCATGATGGAAGTCATAACGAGCGCGATGACATGGATAATAATGGTTGCTTTAAAAAATAACCGAGGCAATATAAGTTTAAGGTCAAGTTAGATACACTTAACATAAAAGTAAAAAGGTATAGAGTATTTACCAGGTTGGAAAATTAGCGTTCCAGCGATTTCAACGTTTCTTGAATAACATTCTGGTTCAATTCCTTCTTCACGTCCTACAAGCGGGCATACAGTGAGAGCAACTGTCTCGCAGATTGTAGTAAAATCTCCAAAGATAGAAGCAGACATTATTTTAAATAAATTTTAAGAATTTTTTTCGAAGTTAATGTAAAATAGGGATGTAAGGAATGTAAAGAATGTAGTTTTGGGGGTGGGTGAATAGAGATAATTTTTTTTTTTTTAGAACCTTTTCAAAACGGTATAAAGGAAAAAAATCTCTTCTTCCCCTTTATGGAAGATATCACGTTATAAAAATAATGAGTGTTCTTTTTACAAGAACAGTTTTTCAAGGAAGTTTTTTTTTCGGAAGACGAGACGAATAATTTAAAATTGGAACAGGAAAAGCTGGTTTTATAAATTTAAGTCAGCACGTAATGCACCACAGGAATTTGTACCAAATGAAAAGACTACCTATACCAAAATTGGGTACATGATCGAGTGATCTGCTAAATCCTTTGCAAATAACGATAATTTGTTTTTGGGAAACTGTTATTATAATATATATATAGTTTGCGTAACTCGTAATTTCTCCATGCAGAGTCACGCGAATCAGATGTCTTGCGTTTAAGTGCTCATAAATTACTGGTTAATACAATTACATGATAGGTCGCTTCGAAATTTTATTAATAAATCACAAAGAAAGTTACGGTATGAGTATGCATCTTCGAAATAATATACCGAGATCGACCGACGTAAATTTCAAATTAAAATATTTATATAACTGGGATTCTGCATTTCATCGCTCTTTCTCGTCTTTCTTATCACGTTTATTTGTCACGTGGTTCGTTAGATAAATATTATAAGTATTGTCGTCTTGTTTGTTTGTCCTTCATCTATTACTATATTTTGAATTAATAAAATTTCTGCGAAGTATATTATAACAGATAAGGCATTGTTCCTACAAAGTAATATTTGAAAAACCATTCAGTTGTTTTCTTTAGAATTGAGTGATGTTCGTGACGGATATATTTTATAGATCGGTATATTCATTTAACAAGAGCTAATCATGAAATGCGTTAAATTGAAATGCGAATCAGATTCAATCTCTAGCCATCCAGCAGTGTTAGTAAATGGCCTAAACAAATCTATTTTTTTTTTTATGATTTTGGCCATTAAAGTTGCGACCTAAACTTATTAGTTCGAATTGCTTTTTGCTGTCATGATTAATTCATTTATCAATTAACAATTAGAGTACGGATTAATAAACGATGGAGATGGTATCAGTTTTTTATTTTTGGCATTCTACTCGAATTTCGAAGGAAACATTCACATTTATAATTGTTTTTCCACTTATTATGTACTGTACATATTCGATATAACTATTAGAACTAATACCGTATATCACCTTAACAACATATCCTGTCTAGTCGTTAAATCAATTAATTTTTCTTAGTCTAAAAATGAAAATAACAAAGTTTTAGTAATTCATAAATTTGATTTAACTATTAATTAAATAAAATGGGTCATATACAGTCTACCCTCGTTAATATCAACCTCGTTAATATCAACCTCATTAATATCAACCTAAGCCATAAGATGAATTTTTACAAATTTTTATATATTATAATCTTATAATATTTCTATATTGCCAATCTATCCCTTAATATGTAGACCAACGCAGGCAAATTTGCCTGCGTTTTTGCACTTTTTTAGCTCTGATTTACTTTT